GGATAGGGTGTGAGGGGAGGGGATGATGGGGAGGGGGTGATGGGGAGGGAGTGATGGGGTGAATGACAGGGAGGGGTGTTTATGTTTGGGATTCCCCTCTCACCTTAAACCTACGCCCTTTAGTTTTGGACTCACCTACTCCTGGGTAAAGACTTTGTCTGTTTACTTTATCCATGCCCCTCATGATTTTATAAACCACTATAAGGTCACCCCCTCAGCCTCCGACACTCCAGGGAAAATAGCCCCAGCCTATCCAGCCTCTCCCTATGCCTCAAACCCTCCAATCCTGGCAACATCCTTGTAAATCTTTTCTGAACCCTTTCAAGTTTCACAACATCCTTCCTACAGCAGGGAGACCAGAATTGCACACAGTATTCCAAAAGTGGCCTCACCAACGTCCTGTACAGCTGCAACATGACCCTCCCAACTCCTATACTCAATGCACTGACCAATAAAGGCAAGTGTACCAAATGCCTTCATCACTATCCTATCTACCTGAGACTCCACTTTCAAGGAACTATGAACCTGTACTCCAAGGTCTCTTTGTTCAGTAACACTCCCCAGGAGATTATCATTAAGTGTATAAGTCCTGCCCTGATTTGCCTTTCCAAAACGCAGCACCTCACATTTATCTAAAATAAACTCCATCTGCCACTCCTCGGCCCATTGGCCCATCTGATCAAGATCCCAGTGTACTCTGAGGTAACCTTCTTCACTGAGGAAGTGTTCTGAGGAAGGGTCACTGGACCTGAAATTAACTCTGATTTATCTTCACAGATGCTGCCAGACCTGCTGAGCTTTTCCAGCAACTTCTGGTTTTGTTCCTGATTTACAGCATCTGCAGTTCTTTCGGTTTTTATTTAACCTTCTTCACTGTCCACCATGCCTCCAATTTTGGTGTCATCTGCAGACTTAGTAAACACACTTCGTACGTTCACATCCAAATCATTGATATAAATGACTCCTGTAAGTAACCAGTGCAGATGGAGACAAGCAGCTGTTTAAAATTAAGAGACATTTAGACGGGAAGAAACATTTCCCCTTGCTGGAGAGATCTATGACCTGGGGGAATAGATTGAAGGTAAGGGGCAGAAGGTTTAGAGGGGATGTGAGGAGAAACCTTTTCACCCAGCCAATGGCCTAGTGGTATTGTCTCTGGACAATAATCCAGAGACCCAGATAGCATTCTGGGTTCGAATCCCACCACAGCAGACAGTGATTATTGAATTCAATAAGGAATTAGAGTCTAACAGCGACTATTGTCGATTGTCGGAAAAACCCATCTGGTTCACTAATGTCCTTTGGGGAAGGAAACTGCCATCCTTACCTGGTCTGGCCTACATGTGACTCCAGACCCACAGCAATGTGGTTGACTCTTAACTGCCCTCTGGGCAATTAGGGATGGGCAATAAATGCTGCTTGGCCAGCGATGCCCTCATCCCGTGAATAAATAAAGAAACTCAAAGGGCAGTGGGAATCTGGAACTCACGGCCTGTCAGGGTGGGAGAGGGAGAAACCCTCATCATATTGAATAAGGATTTAGATGTACAGTTGCGATGCCAAGACACAGAACTATGGGCCAGGTGCTGGGAAATGGGCTTAGTGTAGTTAGGTGGCTGTTTTTGAGTAAAGCAGACTTGATGGGCCAAAGGGCCTGTTTCTGCGCCGTAGATTTCTATGACCCTATGCCACTAAGGAGACGCAAATGGCTGCACCACAGCTGAGGGGGGAGGGGTGAGTGCCTCATTCTGACGGAGGGGGCTGCAAATTCCAGCAATGTGAGGCCGTTAGAGGGGCAGGCCCACACGACAGACACAGTTTCAGTGAGGCTCCTGTGAGCAGACCGACTCCTTGCACCAACAACCCCCCATTAATTCACCTCAGGTAGTGGCTGGATCATGTTAACATCTGGGATGGAGGAGCTATGTTTGTCAAGCTAGAATAATGAAGGTGAATCGTTGAGGTGAGGGGGCAGAGAGAGGGTGAGGGGGCAAGGTGAGGGTGAGGGGGCAGAGGGAGTGTGAGGGGGAAGAGAGAGTGTGAGGGGGCAGAAGAGAGGGTGAGGGGGCAGCAAGAAGGTGAGTGTGAAGGGGCAGGGAGAGTGTGAGGGGCCAGGGAGAGAGTGAGGG